GAGTTAACCGAAACTAGCCAGCAAATAACTAATTCCAAAAGTATTTTAGTAAATAGATTAGGTAAAAAAGAAGAAGAATTAGTAAACTTACGTGAGCAAGTTAGTCATTTAGGGCAAGAACAGCAAGACCAATTAAGAAAAATAAATGTTTTGTTTGATGACCAGGCTGCTAATTATGAAACTATTGATTTTGAGGGATTATGTTCTCTCTTGGAAAAAATAAAACAGCAAAAACAAGATTATTTAGTAAAAAGCCAAACTCAGAAGCAAACTATTACTCAGTTAACAAAGGAATTAAGTCAGGTTCAAGACAATTATAATCAACAAATTAAAGAATTAGAGACCAATCAGCAAGAAAAAATAACTGATTTGCAAAATAGTCTTACCCAAGCTAACAGCAAAATTGAACAATTAGAATCAGAACAGAAAGAAAATGAAAAGGTTTTAGAGCAATTGGGTAAGGAATTTCAAGATTTAAGTAAAGAATTAGAATAATATGCTAAGAGAAGAAGTTTTAAAAGAATGAAATAACTGTAAAGATAATTTACTAAGAACCATCTCTGAAATAAGAGAATATAGACCGTTATTATTAAAGTTAAAAAATGCCGAGTGAAAAACTTTGGCTTATCGAGTTTTTTTGTTTAGAACTGGGGAAGGTCGACAATACAGTCTAAATGATACTATCTCTTTATGAGAATGGGATAATTATTACAAAATAAGTTCTTCCAATACCCGCGACGGATTAATTGCTTTACCAGAAAAAGAGAAGATAATAGGCAAATGAAAGGTGCTGACCGCTAAATATTTGGTGGTGGAAGAAAAAGACAAAAATTCTTTGGAAGAAGTGATATTATCTAACCATCTGGTTAAGAAAATTAAAGAAAGTTTAGCGGATTATCAAGAAGAACTAGGGAATCGAAAGCCAATTAGTGGAGATAAACGAATTGGTTGGAAGGAGGAAAATAAGGAGTTGAAAAGTTTAATTGATAAAAAAGAGATTTAAGAATATTAAAAATGGAGTTTTTTACCCTTTTTTCTCCTAAAAAAATAAAGAAAAACAAAACCCCTATGAAAATAATCTGAATTTTAATAATAATTGCCCTCGCTTACTGATTTTATCAGAAGAAATTAGTTAATAATTAACCCACTTTTTTTTCGGCCTTCACTTTGGCTAAATATTCCAAGCCATTTATTTCGTTCTCTAACTGCTTTTTCTTCTTTTTTGCTAGATTTAGTTCTTGCTCTATTTTTTTGAATTCTTTACCTTCTTTGGAATTATTAAGGATAATAATCATGAACGCAAAAAAAATGACTCAGAGAATAAGGCAAATAATCGCCCCTGTTCCTTCTGCTAAGTAATAACTAAGAAAGAAAGAAGGTATAACTGATACACCAACTAAATAAGTTCATCATTTAGGCTTACTCATCTGCTCTTTTTCTCTTTCTTTCCATTGAATTTCTTCTCTAATCCTTAATAAATCTAATTCCAATTTCCTCCTTTTATTGCTAATTTCCTCATTCGCCATATCTAATATTTTTTATAAAACAACCTAACAAAATCTAATCCAAAAAAACTATGACAAATAACAACGAAGACAATATCCACTGAGAAGAATCAACAACTCACCGCGACAAATTAAAAAAGCAAAATGAAAAAGGAGGATTTGGCAAATCAGCAATCAGAGCCTCAATAAAAGGTCTTAATTTCGCAGTAAAGGCTTATAACCTAGTTGTGGCAAATGCTGTAAAATTTGCTACTTTTGGTGCAGCAGACATCAAATTAAAAGAAATCAATGAAAATCAAACATTAGAAGAAATTATGAAAAGTGGTGGAACTTCGGTAGCACTTGGTCTGATTGATGATGCTGTTAAAGCAGTTAGGAGAGTAGGACTTCCGGCTATCAATGCCATTCAGGTTTTTGGTGTTGGTGGACCTCAAGCAGTTGCCGCGGCTAGCAAGGTTTTGTCTACTGTTGAATTCGCCATCGACCATTTAAAAGATATGCTTACAAGTAGTGCCATTTCTGGTCTAGCAGCCGAAGTAGGAGATTTAAAGGATGGTCAAGCCAAACTTAATGCCAAAGTAGACGCCCAAGGCAAGTTAATGAACAAAAGAATGGGAGACCTTAAATCAGAACTCCAAGGAGAATTAAAACAACAAGGAGAAAAGTTCGACAAAGAAATTAAAAACCTCGATGCCAAAATAGACCAAGCCACCGGTCAACTAAAAAAAGACTTAGAAGAAGAAAAAAAACAACGCCAAGCCCAATACCAAGAATTAAAGAATTCCATTGCGGAAGTAACCAACAACCTTAA